TTTACTTTCGTTGCCCACCACTGCTCACGGTCGTTCCTTAGACTTTTTCTTAACCTAGATCTGATTTGTTGTCGCTCTTCATCGTGTTCAGAACCTGATGGGATGAGTTTACGAGAATCCATCAATGCAATAGACCTTGAGGAAATCAATTGGTTCTTTATAACCCTGTGGTTTAAATCACTCATAGATGTCACTGCTGTTTCCACAGCTGTTTGTATAGCTTTCCAAACAACATCTGGGTCAACCTCGTTTTCAGAACTACCTAAGTGTGACCTCAGTTGTTCCTGGAACCTACTTTTGGTTTTCTCGTTACTCAATTCAATTCTAATGGGTCTTTGTACTGTGGCGTTTTTGCGTCCAGTGAGGCGCAAGCAGATGCGTGCCCGTATTAGGGCATGATCAGAGTCCAAGCAGGTACTCCAGAATGAGCGACAATCTTCTACCGACCCTCTCCAACGATGACTGATGGCAATATGGTCTATTTGAGTCCATTGTTGGTTTGGTGTAGGGGGTCGCCATGTTAGACGATGTCTCTCCTTATGCTTAAAACTTGTGTTTGCTAAAAATAAACGATTGCCTGAGCACAGTTGCAGCAGACGCTCACCATTATCTGTTCGCTGAGCCGGAATACTGAAATACCCACCTAAATGCCTTTCTGTTTGGTTTAAACTACCTATCTGGGCATTAAAGTCACCTGCTACGAGTACTATGTCTGAACGTTTAGCTTTCTGAAGAAGTTCAGATAGCTTTCTGTAAAATTCTTCTTTCACTTCATCCGAGCTACAGTCGGTGCGAGCGTAGGCAGAAACGACAAAAAGGCAACGACGTGTGTCTCTATCCTTCCGAGTTCTTACGGAGCCGTTTAGCCGAACAGCACATAAACGACTGTTAACGGGGATCCACTCTAGCAGTGCTTGTTCCGCCCTCATGCTTAGTGCTATCCCTACTCCTGCCAGTCCACGAGAGCTGACCGTCGGGTCACCAGATACACGGAGGGTGTATCTCGTTGGCTCTTCGTTTTGCCGAGGTGAGGTCAAGTGAATGACCACACTGGGATCCTGTATGCGTGTTTCAGAGACACAGCATACATCAATGGTACGAGATTCTAGGGTTCTAGCCAAGGAAGCCTGATGACCGATTAGACATAGGGTGCGTACGTTGAAGGCTCTAATGTGTAGTTTGGAGTGAGGTTTCAGTAGACTTGGGACAGTGTTTTGAGCACTAGAATCGTTGGCTATGGTGACACTTGAGGGGGAAGCCGAAAAAGGAAGTTTAGAGTTGAAAGTCGATGTAGGAGCAATAATAGGAAGTGAAGACGGAGGTTGATTGTGAATACAGTGGTCTTGAGTGTTGTTAAAGGTATGAGGACGGTCAACACTTCCCGGTTACCCACACCGTGGAAGGGTTCTTTTGGAGGTACCTGAAAAGGAAATTGGATTAGAGGTGGTCTTAGTGATTTGGGAGCGTGACCGCAGTGCTCAAGGGACAACTGCTTGAGGTCGGTCATACACGACCTTTTCATGGGTAATTTTTGTGTTAGCTCCGTAATTGTTGAGACCTTACCGCCGGAGACGGATATCCGTGGGACAAGGCGAGGTGTGCATTTTTAGGGTCGACCTTTTCCAACCCCACCCCTCCTTGTAGGAAGGCAGCATCGCTGTCACGCTGGTTGTCTGAAGGAAACACCTTATTACTGTCACATCTCTGTACAGTCAGCAGTACGACTTCGCCTTCGGACCTTGGGTTTGTTGCTTTTAGTCTTACCGCTCTTCAACCGACCTGTCTGACATGGTAGGACCTTGAGGAACGGTTGTTCCAGCCAGTATAGCTCGGTTGCTTCATCACGATAGGCAAGCCCGACCACCACGTCAAGGTAGCAACGACGGTCGGGTACTACTATCTATGCAAGAATATAATACTCAAACTCTGATATGTCTTGCTTTAAATTTATTGAAGTGATAATCAGATAACGTTGAACAAATACTGGATTTATTAGAAACTATTTCATATACATAAATGATAGAATAATACTTTTTCTAAAATGATTCACCTTTAATAGGTAATGCAGTACATGTGACACTTGTTATAACTACAAATATACCAATCAGTCAGTCTTAAAAAATATAGGACATATCAAAGATCTTCATTGGCCCATGTTGATATGCTTCACATTAACACAACAATATTAGATAACAGATGGTAATCAAAGGTATTAAATCTGTTTTACAATTCAAATTACATCACCAGCTCATATGCTTTTTTGTGTATTGCGCCATACTACTTACTGATATTTAGTAGGTTATTTTCTTATCAATCATTTTGGAACACTGAAACGCTACGCCCTAAACCAGATTGACGCCTTGCATTCAGACATAAACGAGATACAGATGAACGTTTTTCGCAGAAAGTATGCAGTAGATGACTTAACTGATGATTTGAAAATACCTTTTATGGACTATGTTACTGTTGGGATACTCAGAAAAATATCCCAGAAACAATTATCCGGTTAAGTTTAACGCTACCCTTGAACGTTAAATGGTGTCATTTCCCTATTGGTCGTTTCCCTACTGATCAATATTTATTTCGCGTGTCATTTTCCTATTGGTCAATATTATTTAACGTGTCATCTTTCTGTTGGTCAATATTTATAGTAATCCTAACTGTATAAATATGCTTTTGTTTGTAAATCATTATTCTGCTGCTCCTGACCCCATAAACGATATTTCATCTACGGTTCGTGTTCTGATATATTGGAGATTGGGAACAGTATTGGGGTCGAACTGGGATATCTGAAGCTAGTCGATCGGTAGAATTTAGAGTAGCCAACTCACGATTCACAATAGTTACAAACCTTATGGATCAGAGACCAGGGAAGAAACTCATCCAGCTACTGAAAGGTTTAGAAAATCAAACGGCCGAAAGCAAATTTCCAACTGACTCTAAAAGGTATGTACATAATTTCTCAAGTATCGAACTAGATAAAGAAAAACCAGAGGTATTGTCCCTAGGTCTAAAATTTTGTGAGTCTCGTAATAACTGTAACCACATCGATACAGATATACAGTTCGAGAATCTTTATAGTCAGACACGTGATCTAGTTGTGAATTCTGATCAGCAATTAGAACATTTTAAATCAACTCTTGTAGACTGCTGTTACCAATATAAGAACAATAAATTTAGTTACAAAAGCATTCTTAAGAAGAAGCACAAAGAAGCTATCAACCTACTTCTTAAGGATGAGACGTTACTGATTACAAAACCTGACAAAGGTTCAGGTGTCGTTCTTCTTAATAAAAGTGATTATATTGAAAAAATGAGTAAAATCTTAAATGACAAATCAAAGTTTCAAAAAACAACTGACCAGAAAGATTTGAATAATAAGATAGAGAATGAGCTTACCAGATCTTTGGAGAAGCTCAGGGACCAACAGGCTATCTCATCGGGTTTATATGAAATGATTAAACCAGTGGGAACCCATCTGCCGAGATTTTATGGATTACCAAAGGTGCACAAACCGGGGGCCCCATTAAGACCTATTTTAGATATGTATAACTCTTCTTACCATACTATAGCTAAATGGTTGGTAACTGTATTGAAACCTGTGGTGTTTGAATTAACTAATGATTCTTTTGTACTTGTTGAATGCTCGATTTCGAATTCTAAATACAGTACATTCGTTGTGCCTGTGTCTTCTTAATTCAATTGCGTTAATCCTGGAATTCCTAATTCATACTATAAGTAGAATACTATATTGACATCGCGAAGGAGCCTGCAATGGAAAAGTTAGATATTCATTCAACTTCGGAAGCTTTTGAAGATTACTTTGAAAGGTTCGAAATCTGGGCTATGACCAAGGAAGATGATGAGGATGTTAATATTGTGGCACACTTCCTCACATTCATTGGAAAAGAAGCATACAGCTTATTAAGAACTCTGGCTATGCCGGAAAAACACATTTCGCTTTCTTATACAGCTCTCAAGGATCTACTGCTAGACTATGCTCAGTATACAAATTTCAAATGTCGTAAAGGAGGAAGATTTCGTAAAATGATTCATGAGGATATAAAAAAGTCCACTACATTACTACGTCATCTCAACCTAGTGCATACTCAAGGTTATGCAGACAATTCATTGAATTTGGATGCAGTTCACGAAGATGGGGACAAGTTTGGTCAGTGTTTGTCCTGTTGCAAGTTCCACTCTTCTAATTCATGTAAATTTCATAATTCTAAATGCTTCAAATGTCGTGATATTGGACAAGTTCAGTCAGTTTGTAATGCTAATGTTCATCTTACTGCAATTAATATTAAGTCTTGTAATTCTGATTCTACTGAGTCGAGTATTCATGATGATCATTTATCTTTATCAACGACTTCAAAAGACAGTGCAGAGTCATATGGCAGTTCAGAGTTAAATGAAATCCAGAATTCTTGTGAGACAACATTTCCTAATCAACCGATTTATCAGAATTCTCATGCTATTGTACCAAGTATGACTTTTCCTAATGATTCACATATTTCTAATGAAATTACTTGCAATTCTGAGGAAAATATGTTAAATGAACCTAATCATGATCGAAAACCTGATGTGGTTTGGATAGATGCTGATTTTTCTAACGATCCTACGCTCTGCAACGACAGTCCTGATGAATTTCATGAGAATATTTCAGAAGAATCAAATCCTGATGTCATATCATATATTACCTATCCTCATAATGTATTTGATCTTCGTGAAAAACCTGTCCAATGCGAAGCACGAGTACTAAGTGACCTCGAGTTTTATTATATTTCGGATGATTTCATATCAACTGCTGTTTACTCTTATCACAAAAACAGTTCTAATGTTTACTCTAAACAATGTGAGATATATGTTTTAAATGAAGCCACATTATTCATAACTTGGGGATATAAAGATCCAACATTATTTCGTGGGGGGGGGGATAGTGTTGAAAAATCTATGGTTCGAATTCTAGATATTAATGATTTCATTACAAAACCGACATGCTGGTTGTATACAATTCCAGGTGAGTCTGTTCCGATTTCGTTTGTTAATTCCAATACTAATGAGCACTTTCTAGATACTACAAAGTTTTTATCTTATACAATGTCGGACAGACTCAGGATGAACTTAACAAGAAGACGTACAACCGATTACAAACACTTATACTTCTATTTAAGCTGTGGCGGATGTGGTGTTTGAATTAACTAATGATTCTTTTGTACTTGTTGAATGCTCGATTTCGAATTCTAAATACAGTACATTCGTTGTGCCTGTGTCTTCTTAATTCAATTGCGTTAATCCTGGAATTCCTAATTCATACTATAATTAGAATACTATAAAACCTCAACACGAAAAGCTTGTAAAATATAGTGTTAAGGATGTGTTCCAATTTGTTGATAAAATAAAAAAATGCAAATGCGTTGGGATTAAAAATGATGTCATTGGATGTAACATCGTTATTCACAAACGTCCCACTCATAGAGACTGTAGAATATATAGGTGAACAGCTGATGGGAAATGAAATTGAAACTACTGTCCCTATTAATGTCGTGAAAGAGTTATTACTCAAATGAAACATGAATGTGAATTTCAAGTTCAACGGTGAAATATATAGACAAACAGATAGTGTTGCAATGGGTTCACCACTGGGCCCTATACTAGCTGATATTTTCCTAGCCAAACTAGAATATGGTCTACTAAAAAAGATTATTCAAAACTTCACATTTTACTGTAGATAAATGGATGACACGTTCATCCTCTGTAAAGATAATACGTCGCCACAAGAGGTTCTTAGGCGATTTAATGAAGTGCATCCAGCCATTCAGTTTACATCTGAAGAGAGTGATGGTCGAATAGCCTTTTTGGATGTTCTCTTGACTAAGAGAGCGGATGGGTCATTAAAAAGGAACTTAAAGACAAAAAAGTACATGGACTGGGCAGTATACGAATTTCCTGAGCTTTGTACCTCTACAATACAAACGAAACTTGATTAAAAACCTTAGTTACCGTATTCGCACTATATGTTCTGCTGATATAGTCGAACTAGAGCTTAACACCTAGCATAATACTCTCAGGGAGAACGGCTACCCTAGAAAGTTTATAATTAAATATATGGTCGCGAAGGCGAAATACAAACAGTGAAGAAGAAATCCCTGTTCATGCGTCTACAATTCAGAGGGGATGCGGCTAGTGAAATACTAACTCAGAGATTACGTAGGACAACATAAAAGTCTTTTAACGCCGGGAAACTGTGATTAGTATTTTCTACGCGCCCAATGGTTACACCAAAGCTAAAAGATGAATTACCAAGAACGACCACCTCATTTTGTATTTATCAGTTCGACTGATCCTGTGGAGCGAGTTATATTGGTCGAAGTTCTAGGAATTTACATTTTCGTGCTCGTGAACACCTTCTAGCGTTGCTAAACAAAGGTTTCATGAAGAAGGTGAACAGTTCAATATTGGCCCATTTAGTACAAACCGGTCATAGTGCCAATATAAACCAACATTCTAAATTCGTTTATAAGGTAAGTAATTTTTTGCCAAAACTGCTCAGACTGAAAGTACTTCAAACAGCTGAAGCAGCAGATATCCGGATGAAGAAACGGGAGATATGCGTACGGAAAAAACATATTCAACGACTCCATTTTCCCTGGTCAACATCCAGGCTGAAAAATCAATAGTAATCACAAATATTAAAAATCCACCCGGAAATTATTGAAATTTTTATAAACCTACGCCCACACAACTGAAAAATTTTTTCCACCAGCAAATTACAATATTTTCCATCCCTTGTTTCGTCCAATGAAATGGCTATTTTTAAAATTCGTTTTAATTGGTTAGTTATGTCTTGAAAATTGTTATAAAATATCAGTACTTGTCGACGAAGTACATTTTAATCGTCATTATGGAGGAGAGTGACGTGCCAAGTACAAGCGCTGGTGTTTCTCACGTCACGGAAATGGAGGAAGTCTTTTTGACAACCTTGTTTCTGGTTGCGTTCCCATCGGTTGAAGCGTTAAAGACCGCTATCACAAATTTTAAAAGATCGACTTACAGTCATTATGAAGTGAGAGATTCGCATATTGGCAGAGATCAAAATTCGTATATTAAATTTGTGTGTTGGAGAAATGGCCGTATAAGATCTAGCGGTTTGTCACAGCGGATTAGACGAACGAGATAATTTGATTAGTGTTATTACACTTTTTTCACGAAGGGATTCCATGAACACTCAATGTCCTTCCTTCATGTTTTGTAAGTTCATCGAAGGTTACTGGACTGTTGTACGTGGGAATGTGCATCACAATCACGAGTGCAATTCCCTGAGGTACCAAGGTAATTCATGGGTGCGCAGGTTAACGGAGGCAGAGTTTGAGACTGTGCGACCGCTCCTGATATCTGGTACTGCAACATTCGACATTAAGCATTTTGCTTATCATTCTTATGGAAAACGTTTGAATGATCAAGGTATATTTAATATGCGGTACAAAGTGTTCTCACACGCCAACCTTCCTGGTAAGCAATTTGCCAATTTATAATGTACACTATAGGTGATTACGGGAAATTGAAAGCTCACATAGCATCCTTGGGTGGGCTTTGCGAATACGAATTGGACGATGAGAACTGTCTATCGTATTTCTTCTTCATGACTGCTGAGCAATTGAATTTGGCCGGTCACTTTTGTGACGTAATTGGTTTTGACGGGACGTACAAAACGAATAACGAGAACGTTCATTTATATCAAGTCGTTGCCCTGGATATGAATTTTAAGGCAATACCCATCTGCATTGCCTTTTTAAGTCGCGAAACGTCAACATTCATTTCTGGATTCCTGCGTTTTTTCCAACGGTGTACCAACAGTCGACAGCTGGTAGGCATTGTGACCGATGATTCAGGAACGACTGACACCAGCTGCCTGTCAACTACTGAAGCGACACCTTCGCATTCCTATAACGCAGTCTGTATTGTCAGTAGATTTATTCACGGCTACGGATTTGAAAACAATTCTCAACTGCAATATGAGTCAGATAACCATCACAGTGTAATCACCTGTCACAAATTGACTGTACGTTCATATCAGTATTACTGTGTGTGCAGTAAGCCAATATGTGACGGCATGGTGATACGTTTTCAATGAAGAATAGACACGAGCACCGGATAGTACCGACGTGTACATAGTACGTTCCCGTGGCGTCCGTAGCCGTGAATAAATCTACTGACAATACAGACTGCGTTATAGGAATGCGAAGGTGTCGCTTCAGTAGTTGACAGGCAGCTGGTGTCAGTCGTTCCTGAATCATCGGTCACAATGCCTACCAGCTGTCGACTGTTGGTACACCGTTGGAAAAAACGCAGGAATCCAGAAATGAATGTTGACGTTTCGCGACTTAAAAAGGCAATGCAGATGGGTATTGCCTTAAAATTCATATCCAGGGCAACGACTTGATATAAATGAACGTTCTCGTTATTCGTTTTGTACGTCCCGTCAAAACCAATTACGTCACAAAAGTGACCGGCCAAATTCAGATGTGAACAAGATAATGAATTGTTTCTTAGAATCGCAGAATCAAGATCAACAGGTAAAGCTGTTAGTGGTATATGGAGAGGGTGAAATCGTTCACGTCTACCTGAAGTTTGTGCTAATGATAGCTTATAAAGACAAGGAAATTTCATGATTAAACCATCCAAGATAGTGAATGAAACTGCATTAAATTCATCCACCTAACCTACAAGTCTTCTCCACTATTTCAATTACTGGAAGTTATATTCTAAAGGATATCCAGCTTCTTTTGTAGTTATATTCTTTTGGGTTTACATAATATTATGTGTAGAGTTTTTTTTTGGGGGGGGGTAGTTAACCTATTTGTAATGGTCTTAATGATAGTTTTCCGGTCTTCGGTATTTCTTCTCATAAGACAGAAGTATTTACTTTAAAATACTTCAATTAGGTAATAGTTGAATTAGACGGTGTTGTAGAGTTCTATATAGAGTAGAGTTGATTCCTTTTCATGAAAGGACATTAACGAAATAACCTTTCCAAAATATTTAGAATGTTATAACTATCTTAATTAATTTCAGACCTTTTGTAACGAATAACCTATCTCGGAATATTATTCATTATTGCCTAACATTTATATGATTATTTATTGTGTTGTTAATAACTGTAAACTTTTCACTATCTATCCTTGCTTATAAAGTTATGACTTAAGGCAATATCTAAATAGTCCGCACAGGATGCGTATATGCCAATAAGAGACTGATCAATTGCAGTTCTAATTACCAATGTGAAGATTCAAGTAAACAACATCATTTGAATTTAAAACTTAACCTCGTTGTATAAACTAGTGACTATCAAGACTCAGTAAGTAATTGGATAACCCGATAGCGTTGGAAGTGAACGGTACTGGGCTGAAGTTTCATAGCGAACATCAAATCTGAGATGCAGGTACATCCAGCTGACGAGTCTCAAATAGGACCAAACGAGCACCCTGGACTCCTCTTCTAGCTACTATCCATCTTTGCTTCTCAGATGTACAGTTCTCAAATATATATATACTTAAAAAGTTTCGGATAAAAATATTTTTTGTATTGTTGGTTACAGTAATATAGTATATATGGCCTTAGCTAACCAGACAATACATTTATTTCATATCAGCTAAGTAAAAGATTATATCCTTCATTCTTTTACAAATTCTTGTTCACAGTCAACTCGTGATCAGTTAGAAAAAGAATCATTCAGACGTGAAAAAGAAATCGAATTTCTCAATCACTTAGATACTTTAATGAACAATCATCAAACAAAAACATTAACATCTGATAATGATAATAATACTACTACTAATAATAATAATAGTAATAATAATAATAATCAAGATAATGAAACTATACCACTTGGTAATCGTATATGTCTAACTGATAGAAAATCAATAAAATCAAAGGTAATTAATTACATAACTTTGTAGTAAGGTTATTTTCACTTGTAAACATTTTCTTTTTTCATTTTTCATTAGAATTTGTCGTGTAGCTTATTTGGTGACTGGAATTTCACATACTATTTTAATTATTAATTATTACTTGAAGTTAGACATTAACACTGTCCGATGCCGGCTCAGTAGTCTAGTGGACAAGTACTCGCGCGCGAGACCGATATGTTCTGGGTTCGAACCTCGCGGGGCGGGGTCGAGGAGGAGGAGTCCCACAATAGGACGAAACGGCTGTCTAGTGCTTTCAGGTTTTCCATGGTTGTTTAGCTTCAAATGACTCATGATCTCAGAAAGTGATATTAATTAATTTGCTAACCACTAAACAAATATAATAAAAAAATATAAAATTAGTTTACATTTTCTTGAATTGAACTACTAGATTGGATAACTTTATAAGCAAAGTGGGATGGTGGCTAATAGTGAAATACAGTTAGACGCGCGTTTCGTCCTATTTGTGACTCGTCAGCTGAGTGTGCCTGCTAGCCACCATCTAACTCTGCTGATAATGCTTGTGAATTAAGGCAATATCAAGGCAGTACGCAATGGATGCACATATGCCAATGAGAGACTGATCAATTGCAGTCTTAAGCAACAATGGCTGATTATCTATACCTTTACTATAATTCGCATGCTTCCAGAATTTTCTGGGAGAGTTCTGTCACATGAAACCCTATAATGTACACTCAATTTTCTGAACATACCCAACCTTGAAGTATAGGTTTTCATTACATTTCTTACCCTATTGTTAGGGAGATTCAGAAAATTCCTCGAAAAAAACCGAAAAAGGCCCTGCGAACGCTAAGAAACGTCTTATCCAATTAGGATTCGATAGAATTTTTGCCAGAAACATCTAGGAAGTGAAAAGTCACGTGTCGCGTTTCTGATTGAATGATTACCTATACTACTACTATGCTTGGTAGCGTTCAAGAAATTTTCGGAAAACCAAGGCCATATAAAATACTATAAATACCCTAGATTTTCTGTGCATGAATGGACATTTGGAGTAAAGCGTTTTTCCATTTATCTCAGCTTTTCTCTCATGTTCAAGTCGCTGTGTAGATTTAGCTTGGGGGCTAATAGAAGAGCTTAGTAACCGAATCTAGCATTCAATTAGAAGGCTTATCACTTCTCCCTATCGTTTGAGCTGATAATCTTAAAACGATTATACATAGTGATGCTTGAATAACATACTGAATATATAAAGCTGTATAAAATAACAGCTTAGCCAGTTGGACATTATGCCAAAATGACTTTAAAAATTGGAAATATGTTTACAAAACAACCCTCAGACGATTTTCAAAAAATGCATTTGCATTAAGGTATGCCAAATTCAATCGTTTAATCTCACTAAAGTTTGAGTTGCTCTTTAAGAAATTGATACTATTTTCACATAAAATGTTTCAGTATTTGTACTTTGTCGTTGACAGTAAGGACTGTAGCTGATCATTTATTTATGGCACAAGCACGTGTTGAACGAACTGTCTTGATATTGCCAAATATTCACACTTATCTTGACAAATTTAGGTAATGTATAACAACTGAATCCAGAACTGACGCGTACCGAAAAAGACAAAACTCTCGTCCTAGGTCTCCGAGTTAACTACTAAGCTCTGTTAAAATACTTTATCATATTATTTTATTTTAAAATTCGTATTCTGTACATACAAAATGTTATTAATTAGTAAATGACTTCATTGTGTCTAACTGTCACATACCTGAAGTTTGTGCTGATGATGTCGTTCAGAAGAATGATGAAAGCTCCACGACTAAACCTTCCAGCTCAGGGAATAAAACTCTATCAAAAGCATCCACGTGAGCTACAAATCTTCTCCACCCTCTCAAATTGTCTTCTCCATTATTACTATCAATAACAAAGATTTTTATTTATTGAGTTACTTATTTTGGTTATATATATATCCGATTATATTTACTTATATGTTATTATAAGAGATACTTGTTTCTTAATAGAAATCGAATTGATTTTTTCAGGAGACTGGTATGCTATAATCTCGTTGTAATTTTTGTAGAGTTGAGTGATGTATGTTCCCAATGATCTTTCACCAAATTCATTATTATCTTGTGAATCCTGTTTTATAAATTCCAGACTGTAAATACCAACAAAGCGTGTTTGAAATCAGCGAATTCATCTCCTTCAGTTGAAGACTTGATATCTGGTGATTTTACTCTGGATCATTACAAAAGTGATAGAAAAGTTAGTCCATTATATTATTTCCTAAGGGTAATGTCTGCTTTCATCATGTTTTTATTATTTTAACTTAACATAGAACCAGCATAGTGAATTATGGTGTAGCGTTTGAATTTTGGAAAAATGTAGAAAATTTGTAAATTAATTATTCCCTGAAAAGCATAGAACACATGAAACTGAGTAAAGGAATATTTCTTGCAAATTAGATTTATATCAGAGCTTTGCATAAGTATTACAACTGAATATAAAACCGACACTAAACAAATGACTATTGTGTGTGCTACTTATATTGACATTAGTAGTATATGATGTTAGTCGTGAACGGAAGGTTTGGCAGCAGAGAGACAAGAGGATCGAACAGCAAAGAATGGAAGCAGGATGCAATTTTTATGACAATGCAAGAACAATGAAGTCTGAGTCATTATGAGACAACTGATGGACATTTTACAAATTAAGCATTTATGATACGATTGTTAGATTTTATTAACAAGTCCTGTAATAATTGTCCCCACCGGTGTTCTCGTTCACTACACTATAAGTTAAATTACAATAACTGATTGTATAGTTGTACAGTTCAAGATTTATCTAACAGCAAACTAAAGCAAATTATTGACAGAATACATTATAATTACCAGCAGAAGACTTGAAATGTCCTGTTAAGTGGTCAACTAGAAGTGATGTAATGATTATTCAATGTAGATATACCGATACTTTTATAGTTGATGTTGGTCAGGAGGAAATAGTAGTTTTAGGTTCCTTGCTAGTCGGAAGCCATCACAAGGTGTTTCTTGTAAAACTAAGATTCACCTTACCCAACTTTGGAGTCTGAGACGGAAACACTGAGCTACTTGAGGCTTAACTGAACATCTGTTGAACTGAGATATATACAAAGGGTTCATCATTGAGTAGTTACTTTAGTTATGTTTGTTTAATCCTTCAGTGCCGATCGATTTCTATCGATGAAATTGTATTATTTCCGCTAATCTAATTAATTCATTATCATAGGCACTATGCTGAAATGTTTTGTCATTGGAGTTAGTCGAGAGAAAACCTTAGATCTAGTGTCCACTTTGATTGGTACTCGTCAAAAGAAGTACTTGTAATTTTATGGGAACTGATGATTTCTGTGGTATTTATTCACTAAAAAAGACAGTAATTGTTTGTTTTACAATTTTCTATTGATAGTCAATCAACAATTAATCGAAAGTTGGATCGCTTTATCTATATTATTATTTCTTTTATTACAAAACAATTCTGACTACTCATAGTTTTAATTAACATTGTAATGTAAAGAACAATATATAAAACGTCTGTTACTTACGATAATCGATTCGAAATTACACTTTCTCCTACTTGATTACAATTACCGATAACATCATGTACAACTCTAAGATAAATGGAACTTCCACTGGTTGAAATCATGAGTCGATTCAAGCCAGACCACCATGGAAAACTTGGAAGCACTGGATGGCCGTTTTGTCCACAAAACCCCTTCTGATACTAATCAACATATGCTCACTGATGACAGGCTTCAAGATACATATTCTGGTGTTCTAGTGAGAAGTAGTGACCAGTGGAGTTCAACCGGGTCTGTTGTGAGATAGTAACTCATGGGTGACGATGATAGATGTATCGCTCAATTTTGTGGATTAGTTGAAGTTAGACATTAACACCGTTGGATGTCGGATCAGCGGTCTAGTTGGTTAGGCACCTGGCGCAAAACTGATAGGTCCTGGGTTGGAATCTCGCGGAGTGTGGGATCATGGATGCGCACTGCTGAGGAGTCCCAAAATAGGATGAAACGGCCATCCAATGCTTCCAGGTTTTCCGTGATGGTCTAACCTCAATTGACTCATGATCTCAACTATTAAAATTGATATATATATTAGCTTGATCTTTCTTTCTTTTTATTTAAAATTCTAGATTAATCGAATACTATCCGCTCAATCAAGTGTAATGAAACCAATTTTAAATCAAACTATTATACAACAACGTAATATTATTGCTGCACAAAATCGTGAAATTAATGCATTAAAAGCAGCACATCGTTATTCTGAATGGTTATTAGAAGCACGAGCACATAAATTAGCTAAAACTATAATAGAAAAAGTAAAAGAATGAATTTGTTTCTCTTTGAAATTAAACCATGAATCATTACTAGAACTTCTTTGTTATTGTCAATAGTTTTCAAACTTACTATCATGTTATTTCATTATTTATTTTAAAGAAATGACTAAAATATGTTTCCAGTTGAATAGATAACCTACGGTTAGCAGTGGAAACCAAGATAGTCATTTCGTCCTGTTCTGTACACGTCAGTTCAATACATCCTGAACCCATAGTGATGTTCAAACCAGATCTAGAATTGAGTACCTATAATTTTAAGTGTCAGTTCGTTATTCACTAAGCTAGTAGACCCAGTTTACTACCTAACTGTTTATTGAAGATGTTATTAATATTGTTATTAGTATAGGTTTGAATTACTCTGTTATCAAAATTCAACACAGAAATTCAACCAATCTTTGTTGGTAAATGCATATCCTGCTTATATTGCCTTGATATAATCGTTCTACTGTCAGCCACAGTTCATATCTTCTAAATAATTTGTAACAAAATGGTTACATTAAGACTGTTCGAACCGGATCTACACATACTAGCAATGACTATTCAAAATACATTATTAAATAAAAACAATAAGATAAACTCAAACCAAAGATGGATAGTGGCTAGCAGTGGAATTCAGGATGCGCGTTTCACCCTGTTTGGGACTCGTCAACTGGATGTACCTGCATCCTAGAGTTGATGTTCACTCTGGGACTCCAACCCAATACCGTTCACTTTAAACGCCATCTCATTATCCACTTATCTACTGAGTCTTTGTTTATAATACTTGTAAATTAAGGCACTATCGATGTAATACGCACAGTATGCACACATGCCAATAAGAGACCGATCAATTGCAGTACCAAACATTAATGGGAAAATTCAAGTATAAAAAAAAACAATACCAAGTGGAATAAACTCTGACCCTCACTAATAATAATATGTTTCCAAGTTATTAAATAGTAATAACATGATATCTATATTTAAATCCTTTTGCTTTAGACTAATACAAAAATTAATGAAGCTGATAAATCTTCCTCTGAAATGAATGAACCATTAGTGAACGTTGAAAATGGTACAGATGATCAAGTTCATTCTCAACTAATGTATGTCTTCAACATTCCTAGATGTAATATTATTCGTTAATCAAAACTGTAATCAAGTTTCTAACATTTGAGTTATTGTAATTTTCAGAAATATTTGTCAATGTGATAGCGACTTGTAATTACACAAATATTCAGGTGACTGATGTATTGACTAGATTACCGATGTTCTATTTGGTTAATATACAACCAGGAATAATGTTTCGAAGGTATATTCGTCCATGTGACGCTGTCTTAGCTCACTAAAACTTAAATCGAGACACGACAACCGTCGACTACTTCCTGATTATCAGTAACTCATTAGTTGATAACAATAAATATCAAGTCGGACATATATCCAAGGTAAACCACGTTAGATATTCATGACGTCACTGTCCATCTTGATTCGATCTTAATACAGTTGTGAACAAATGTGACCAGGCCTATTTAGGTTTGATTAATGAACATTTCACCAAAGTTTGTATATGGTGATTAAGAATGACTATTTCAAACTGATCATTTGTAATTACTTAAAAAATGGTCAAAGATTGCTCTCCTGAACCTGGTTCATTTCAAATTTATGCCTGAGGATTAATATAGCCACTAATCAAAGTGTACAACTTAGTTGATAGTTTTACTACACATATTTTTTTAAAATAAGTGGAGCTATGGTAAACTTAATAAAATTGATGTGTTTTATGGAGAACTTCATTATTTGATCATTGGATTTCCAAGACTCGTCAATTTTCGTTCTTCTAAATTTTGAAGTGTTTTTCCTTTTAATATTCCTTACTTTCATATAGCGCAGTCTTACTTGTCTCTATTAAAGTAGTGCATTTTACTGTGTTTAATTGTCTACCAGTGTTAATATCATTATTTCTGTAAGTTTGCTCTATAATTTTTAGATCTTGATAATTTCATTTTCATAATCATTGCCTGATGTAAGAAAAGAAAGACGTAGATCTAGAAAATATTTACACAATGTTATGTAATTCTGAGTAAAGAGGGTTGCTGGCTAACAGTGGAATCCAGAACGCACATCTCGTCTTATTTGGGACTCGTCAGCTAAATGTACCCGCATCTCAGAGTTAATGTTCACTCCAGGACTCTAACCTATTACTGTTTGCTCTAAACGCCAAAGCTTTATCCACTTAGTTACTGAGTCCTGTTAGTCGTTTGCTTGTGAAATAGGGCGAGGTTTAAATTCATTTGGTATTATTTGTTTGAATCTATCTTTGTTTAGAATGCTTGTAACTTAATATAATATCGAGGCAATTCGTACAGGATGGATATATGCCAATAAAAGACTGATCATTTGCAATTCTAAACATCAGTAAGAAGATTCAAATAACTAATACAAAATGAATTAAAGGTCATGTAATCTTGAGACGGTGGAGAAAATTTTGTAGCTCAAGTGGGTGATTTTGATGGAGTTTTGTTCTCTGATCTTGATGGTTTGGTCGTGGAGTATTCATCGTTTTTCTGAACAACATCATCAGCCCAAACGTCGGGTAAAAGTTCATACTGATGATGTCCCTCAGAAGAACAATGAATGCTCCACGACAAAACCATCAAGATCAGAGAACAAAACTCCATCAAAAGTTATATAATGTTTTTCTACTGACCAATAACTAAAAAGAATTATTATTATTCAATGATTGCTTAAAATTTGTTTTTGATCATACTGAAAAACTTACTTACTTACTTACGCCTGTTGCTCCCTGTGAAGTAGCACGGGCCGCTCACCAGAATTCTCCATCCAACCCTATCCTGGGCAATCCTTTCCAGCTCTTTCCAGTTGTTATTCATCCTTTTCACATCTGATTCTATTTCCCGACGTAATTTGTTATTTGGCCTTCCACTTCTCCGCTTAAATTCAGAATTCCAAGTTAGGGCTTGCCTCGTGATGCAGTTTCGTGATCTGCGTAATGTATGTCCTATCCACCAACTCCATCGTTTTTTTAATAATTTTCTCTTCAGATAGAAGGTGGTTTGTTCTCTCACAGAAGGCTGTTACTGGTGTTATCCGTCCAATGGATGTTGAGTATCTTGCGTAGACAACTATTTATAAATACTTATACCTTCTTGATGATGATTGTAGTAGTTCTCGAAATTTCAGCTTCGTACAGTAGAACTCTCTTGACGTTCGTATTGAAGATTGTGACTTTGATATTGGTTGAAAGTTGTTTTGAGTTCCATTTGTTTTTCAATTTTAAGAATGCAGATACTCAAACACAACTATTTATATTTACTATTCTCAAAAATATATAGATTCTATACATATCCCTAAAATAATTTCCATTTCTTGACACTGTTTTCTTCTTCTTCTTCTTCTTATTATTATTATTAACAAGATCGAACGAAATGAAAAGTCCCATTAATGATAATCATTTAATGACAAATGATTTATCAGGATCAATTCCTTTAAAAACTATATCGATTAATAAAAAAAACTCATTTATTCAAAGTAAGTCTATAAATTTATGAATGTACAATGATCTTTAGTGAAATTATAGTTTAAGGACGAACCAATCAAATTTAAGGTAAAAGATCTTGAATTTTAACGCGAACTTCACTCATCAATTTGTCTAAATAACATCTTGGCATTTTAGCTGATGTCAGTTCGTGATGAAAACCATAAATCTAAATCCTAACGCTAACCATCAGTTGTAAATCATTATCTTTATTCCTCAAACTGCTTTATAACCTTCATTTAGCGGGATCGTGGGTATGCACTGCTGAGGAGTCCCGTACTAGGGCGAAAGGGCCGTCCAATGCTTTCAGGCTTTCCATGGTTGTCTAGCTTCAGTTGACTCATGATTTCAACCAGTGAGATTTTATGTATTGATTATTCAAAATTGTTTTCAAATCAGGTTTCCTGTAAATTACACTACAATGTTATGCCTCTTAAATGATATTTATTGAATATTTCTACTCATCTTCGTTATATCACGTAACAGGACTGTCACTTCAATTAAACACCATCATAATAATATAACCATTGTTATAAACTCTTCAATTAAAACCACACAATAACATAGTTTGGACAATTTATTTTACTATGATGTATATTTCACTTCATCATTCTAACTATGATCAGGTATGTCGGTCTAGTGCGTAATTGTGGCTAGTGATGCTCAACTCAATGATGATTGAAAGAGATATCATCTACAGCAGTGAATAAAGACGATACAATGTCATAACACGACTAAAGTTAAATATACAGATATTTAGATACTGACTCAGTGGTCTAAAAATGCTGAGCTTACCATATAGCCTTTTGGTTTTGGATTTGATGTCTAATGGTGTCGCAGCTCTTCACAAGAATGAAACGACTATCGAGTGCTTCTTAGTATTTAATGGTTATCTAAATAAATTCATTACTTTATGTAAGCTGTCTACATACTGAACAATATCCAAAAGCCTTCTATTTTAATGCATTATACTTTTTTATATGAATTTATTCCATTGAACTAGTTTGTTTGTATGTATCTAGGGTAATAGTAAGTAAGTGGAATACATTTTAATCCTCAATCCTGTTTTGCTTAAACTTACAAAAGGAACCAATAGAAGGCAAACGACATGTTAAGAAGTTGTATTTTAATTAGAAATTATTATAAAGCATATTTAAATAAACTAAATCATAACAATTAAATGTGATAGTATAAAAACTTTTAATTGAACTTGTCTTATTGTCGAGTATATTTTTGTATTACTATGGTAACATGATCTGTTCAATATATCAACCAACTGAATTATGTGACTTCAGAAATACTCTCATGAAATTTCTAAAATGTTGAATGATATAAATAACGATAAAACGTTCAAGAAAAAAAGCTTTTCAATAATATCTGTGATGATTGAACGGATGATATACAGCTAACACTATAATCAACTTCTTGTGTTTGAAATGAAAGTCAAACATGTGCATTTGATTTTGTTTTTCAATTACACATTAGCTCTATTACTGATTCTTAATGAATCGAATGAAGGAAAATTCTCTGTAGATATGATTAAAACGAGATCTTTTGACTTGAGAAAATCATTTGCCTGATTTATCATCAAGTTATTAATATCTGATCTGAATATTGCACTGAATGGTAAATTCCCACTCAAACACTCAATTCCCTTTAGTGTGTCATCAATAGTGGTGAATGATAGTTCAACTGTTAAGATATTGATTATAACTTCTTAAGACTTTTGGAGATGATATAAACTAAAGAAGCGACTATAGAAGAAATGTATTATTACACATAGGGAGTATTTTAAATGGATTATTGTTGATCTATCCTAAAATATGTGAGATCAGTTAGAGTATTACAGAAAATTTATCTATTATGACCTTAACGGAACCATTACGACACTGATAAATGAATTACATTGGACACTGTCCATAAACCATAGTATTATCAACTGACAATACCTATCTTGTAATAATAATAAATTAATAACAAGATACACCATCCAAAGTTATTACCACATGTTTTTTTACCTGTATTGAATTACTAGTTTACTTCAGATACTCATAGATTACTTATAGAATAATTTCTTTTACCCTTTTAGAAATGGAAGAAAGAGCAGCTGAACGTGCTCGTCGACGTGCATTACAAGAAGAAAGAAGACGTGAAAATGAACAAAAGAAAAAAGTAGGCGTATTTCTAATTTCTTTTATTCATCAGTCTATAATAACAGTTTACTGGTGAGAAATATAAAGTGACAAAAGTGCATATGACAACAATCTTTACACTCAGCTAAACATTTCTATATAGGAAAACAATAATCACCATTATGAATCAGTATTCTTTATTCTTAATCTTTCTCCAACTCTCCTCTACATTAGTCAACATAGCAACTAGACAAAGATAATAGTTACGTATATTAACCTATGAAAAAAATGATTAAACAATTTTAAGATTATGCATAATGTGTAAGTGAAGTCAAATACATTACCATTTGAACCGGTCGTGAAGTGGAGATGATCTATTTGTACTTTTAAAGAGTAAAAGTGATTGAACCAAGAATTGTACATAATGAATTATTTACATGATTGTAAAAATTGACGTGACTCCCTATGATAAATATGATACTCTTTTACAGAATAAATAATATTTCTTATTTATAAGAATATTTTTGACTGTGTTTTTTACCTCATAACCAAAGGAACAGTTGGCTAAACAGTTAGAAGAAGAAGCTAACAGAATCAAACAAGAAAAGATAATGTTGAAGAATGAACAAAAAGAAAAGAAGATACGTGAAGAAGAGGTTGTCATTACTGTAGATGTTTTGTTGAGTTATTCAGACATTTCTTGTATATATATATAAAACAGAATATTGGTATAGTGTTTAGAGATTAATTGGTGAGACTATAATTTATGGACGATATTTGAGCTGACGCTAAAGTGATGTTGAAAGTGTCCACTTAATAACTAGTACCAAATGAGGGTTATGAAACATTGTGGGGAATTAGAATTATGATTTTATCGTTGATGGTTAAGACTAAGAATTAGATTTTTGGTTTTCATCACGAACTGACATCAGCTATAATACCGAAACTTTATGTAAGCAAACGGATGAGTGAATTTCGCGTCAAAATCCGAGACCTGTTATCTTTTACTTGATTGGTTCGTCCATAAATTATAGTCTCGCCAATTATTTGGTTTTTTTGGTTTACTATACGAAGTGACCAATGCTAGACAAATATTGAAGACTAAGAAGGACTAAATAGATGTATTGTTTGAGCATGAGATTTCTCAGCATTGGAAATCTATGATACTTTCGAAATCCCAACTCAAGACTTTCAGATCTGTAAGACCCATAAGTCCCTAAGTTTGAATTCATTAGTTCTCATTTTCAACTTCGTTCAACTTATGGTTTTCTATTAAGTTTATTTTTTAAAAAAAAGTGATTTTCTTCTCGAATTGGCATGGGAAACTAGGGAATTCCTCTTTTTGATTGAGATCATGAACCGTTTGATGTTAGACCATCATTGAAAACTTGGAAGCACTGGACCTTCGTTCTGTTTTATTGCGGGATTTGTCAGCAGTGCGCATCCACGATCCCATTCGCGTGACTTGAACCCAGGGCTTTCAGTTTCGTATGCGAACGTTTAACCTCTAAACTTCCAACGGATTCCGCGAGCGGGATCGTGGATGCGCACTGCTGACGAGTCCGACAATAGGACAAAACGGAGGTCCAGTGCTTTCAGGTTTTCAATGGTAGTCTAACATCAATAGGTTCATGATCTCAATCAAAAACTTAATAATCTCCATAACCCTATACTTGAATTCTCTTTGTCAGCTTGAAGATTGATTAGGTTTAATTCTGTCTGAATTGTTTAATTTTAATTTTTTTCGGACAAATTACAATCACGTAAAAAAACCCAGTTAATCATTCAATTGATTTTCATCTCTCTAATGTTTCCTTTACTGATATTAGCTTACAACAAAATGTTATTGTTAAATTACATGAAAGTCATCAAATATTGTCAATCTTATGCGGGATCGTGGATGCGCACTGCTGAGGAGTCCCATATCAGGACGAAACGGCCGTCCAGTGCTTCCAGGTTTTCCATGGTGGTCTACCTTCAATTGACTCATGATTTCAATCAGTAAAATTTCTAAAATCTCCACAAAACCCCTTCTGATAATCTTATGTTTGTTTATTTTCTAGTTAAAACAACAAAAAGAATTAAAATTAGCTTATCAACGTGAATTGAACTTAAAAGTTACTATGCATAGAAATATTTCATGTTTACGTTATTATGGTCTTAAACCATGGATAAACTATGTATTAAAACAACATGAATTAATTCAAATGGCTAATTGTTATGAAAAGAAAACAATAATGAGGTAATTTATACTAAATGATTTTATTTTTCATACAATTCAACATATTTGTAATCGCTTGACTTCGAGATAATTCCTTATCCATCACTTTGATAACAGTTCAGTCAGTCAGTAACAACGCAGAAATTTGTACGTACGTACATCAGTTCGAGTTGCCATACCACATTAGCACAGAGATGTAGTTGTCGATTCAAATCCCGTTATTAAAAATAGATCTCAACGGTGTATAAATTCAAAAGGTAGCAGGATGAGCCGATTATAGTTTATTATTTGATAGCACAGATAAGAAAGTTTACAAGCCCACTAAGCGAGCAAGTGAATATAGAAGCGGATTCAGAGTCAAATCGAACCGAAGCGAAGCAATTGATAAGATTCAAGCACATATATACATATGGCAAAGCGAATGATTCATCGAGCGATAATTAAGCGACTAACATTTAAAGTAGAATGAGGCAATATATGCGTAGGCTGTCACATGCTATCAATCAGACGTGTTAGTGGTCATATTAAAATAAACAAATTGTTACTGTTTAAACAACACTATCGATTAAATGAGTTAATTGAACAGCTTGACAAAATTAACCGTAAACAAACTTAGTAGTAGAATAGGTGTTATATGCTTGGTTTGAAGCGGTTACGAGTTCACTTAATCTGCGAACGGAACAAGAATGGGTGGCCAAAGACCGATAAGTCAGCTATTTGATGTGTCCCAGCCCCGCTAACTAGAGGAAGAAGTCCAAGCCTGAAATGGGGAAGTATATTCCGCAAAAGCCGAAAGCACGAGCGATAACAACAGACACAAATCAAAACGTATATATACAACACAAAACCGTCCTTGCAGAGATTTACAAAATAGCATACTAAAAGATACAACGGACCAATGGCATTGTGTACTTCTTTTCTTTGGTTGTATCTCCCATTGGTTTGATTTTTGTTCCTATGTTAGACACTGACAGGCTTAAGGTCAACAAGAATTAATCAACATCGTGATCTACAGGACAAGCTGTGAATCTCATGTGGAACAAATCTAACACTTCACTTGTACCTGAAGTTTGCGTTGATGATGTCGTTCAGAAGAACGATGAAAGCTCTACGATCAAACCATCCAACTCAGAGAACAAAACTCCATCAAAATAATCCACCTAAGCTATAAATCTTCTCCACCATCTCAAAATACATGAAGTTAAGCTATATTCGTTGTCATTTGAATACATTGATACATAGTTACAAAGTAGAGAAAAATCACCATTCGTTGTTAATAGATTTCTTATAATTCTTAAAAGTGATCATAATTCATGATGAAAATTACATTGTTATATGGTATCTTATTAATTTTATTATAAATTTTCTGCTTTTCACATTTGTTCTTCACAGAAATACATTTCACACTTGGTTACTACATTTAAAAATTAAATATGAACAAGAAACTAAATTTGTTCAATGTCATTACAATGTATTGCTAATGAAAAAAACTATAAAAGCACTGCAGAAGGTTAGTTTCATTGAATTGAATTGACTTTAATTGAAACACATTCCATTGTGTAGCCTAATTAATTCAAATCGAATTGTTTATTCAAAGATGATATGATGGTGTACATGCATAATATCAACATTAAGATTTAAATAATTAAAGGTTACTTACATACGTACTTACGCCTGTTACTTATAGTGCAGCATTGGCCGCCGACCAACATTCTAAAACTCACTCTATCCTGGGCCTTCTTTTCTAGTTCCATCCAATTCTTGTTCATTTTTCACATGTCTATCACCATTTCTCGGAGTAATGTGCTCTTTGATCTTCCTCTTTTCCTTTGGCCTTGAGAATTCCATGTCAGGGCTTGTCTTGTGATGCAGTTGGGTGCTTTCCTCAATGTGTGTCCTATCCACTTTCGGTGCTTCTTCCTGATTTCTTTGTCCCCTGGGGTCCTGTTTGTTCTCTCCCACAGAGAAACTACGCCTGGAGTCCCTCCGAGGGCTACTGCCGGTCCCATGCCAGGATAAAGAAGTGGCTTGGGTATGGGGTTACCGACCACATCCCGTTGAAAACTAACTCGCTAAAAAACGTTAATCAGAAAAAATTATTCAGACCATTTAAACTCTGCCTTGGGAGTCAGAAGGTCTTCATTTAAAAGAGTATGACGCCTCATGATGATGATGATGATGAAAGCCGAATTAAAGATTAGTCGATGACTAATTTTGACTGTTGGGATGAGGACGTTTTTTAAAAAATTAAAAAAGAAAAGCCAATGTGAATCTCTTTCATTAATTAGAATTTATCTTGGGCTTAACTACGTATTTCATTTTCAATTTTTTCTAAACAAAAGGTAAGTAGAATCCAATATTAAATTATCTATTATTGAAAAGTTTCTAGGAAGGTACATAGAATTTTGGAGCAAAATTTTTAGCTCAGGTGGATGATTTTGCGGATTAAATAAAATCCCATTGAATGTTTCACCTCAAAGATGTGTTCAACTCCTAGGTTGAAAAAACTGGAATATGTTTGAAAATAGTTTTGTTATGGGGAATAGTATACTCAATAATAATTTACAAGTCACTAACCAATAAGGTGTCCAGATGTCATTCATATTATCAAAAATCCAGTTAAAGTGAATATGATTCCTTTAAATAAATGAATAAGAATAAAGTTACATCACGAATATCGTTAAATTGCACATAAGCATGCCAAGTAGTGTTATCAGCAACCAATGAAAACAAATCGTTTATTGTGTATCAAAAATAGAAAAGTCACTCAAAATCAACAAACTTCAAAGAGAAGCGAACGCAAATACGATTAAACAACGAAAACAGTAAGTCATACTGTGGTGAGCAGAAAAGCTAACTGAAACATAAAACAAGAGTACAAAAATATGAAATGAGTGGTTTGTTGTGCCTACAACACATCTTTCGGTAAATAGATCATAAAAATAGTAGAGTATGCTTCAAACTACTGATTAATAATAAATAATATCGATTGATATACTAAAGAGTCGAAGCTAATATAACACGCGATAAATAACAAGTCAAGAAAACGCTTTTCCCACTTCAAAACTCCACATTACATAACGAATCAACGTTTTGACAGGAACCTATTCTTTGTGAAACTATATAGGCCTTTCCAAGCGCAATGTACTTTTGTTGCAATTAAACATTATTAAATGATGAATGGTACATCGAAGAAATATTCAGTCGAATAGAAGTGTAGTCAGTCACTTTATGCTTCTAACTAATCTATTATAATTACCCCGTTAGACTTAAACACATTTTTTATCGTTCATAGTCAGAGAGAATCACTTTGAGTGGCTTTATCTATAGCTTATAGTGGTTTTTGTCTAATTTGATTTGTTTTCTCAATGGATTTATATGATATTAGATAAAGTGAATCAATAGTTATTTGTAGATCATTTATTTTAATATTAGCAGCTTATTCTGAGCTAGATGCTACAGTCATACTGCACTGATTCCCCTCCTACACAACACTACCAACAGTAACTTCAAAAATGAGTTAATACATTTTCCATAAGGAATGTGATTATGATGAGAATGATATAGTCTTGAAAGGCAAGAGGACTTGATGATTAAATCGTACAGATGGGAAAACTCAACTTAAATATACTTCCTGTGAACTACAGATTTTATTCAACATGTTGAAAAATATCCCACTAGATTATTTCTTTTCGTATGTTGTTCGTTGTATGCATAGATAATTGTGACCGTGTCCTCTCATATTATTACTATTATACTATCATTATCATTATTATTATACAGGCTTGTGAAATACGTAAAGAGAATGAGACTTTTGCTAACAAATGGTATCATAAACAGCTTCTACGAAGTAGTTTTTCATTTTGGGTTCAGTACGTAACTGATCTTTGCATTCAAGAATGGCAACAAGAGGAAACTGCTTTGGAACATTATAACAGGTAGGATCTTCAGAGATATATATGTATCATAATTGTTTGACCACAACTTTTCACAGAAAATGATGATGTCTAACATATGTCTCAGATTAAAAGAACAATGACCATTAATATATAACAAGTTATTGTCTGATACTTTGAGAAAATGACAGTTAAATCAAGTTTACTTATAAAACTGAAAACTTATACTAAATATGTAATGTTTGAAATTCGAATAATTACTATACCGCAATAATTTCGCAGTAGAAAGACAGTTTACAAGCAGAGATGAATAGTGGCTGGCAACAAAATCCAGTACGCGCATTTCGTCTTATTCGGGACTCGTCAGTTGGATGTACCTACATCTGAGAGTTAGTGTTCACTCTGAAACTCGAACCCACTACCGTTCGCTTCAAACGCCTTCGAATTAGCTACTAACTCCTGATAGCAACGTAATTATGAAATGGGATAAAATGTTTACTTATATCTTCCAATTATTGTTTAGGACGATGTAAGCAAACAAAACCACGTGAACTTTAATTTTCTGTTAAATAATTTTGTTTTCAATATACTTAAAATTGATTTTTTTTCAAAAATTCGTGGATTGGTTGAAGTTAGTTATTAACACCATTAGATACCGGCTCGGTGATCTGGGGATTAAGCGTTCACGCGTGAGACTGATATGTTATGGGTTAGAATCTCGAGGAGCGGAATCGTGAATATGCACTGCTAAGGAATTCCACAATTAAACAAAACATCCTGATAAATCTTGCAAATTGAACGCTATATTCGTTTCCTAAGCTATTCTGTAACCCCCGAGCTAGAACTATACAGCGGCCTGATCAACGAGAGAGGAGACACGAAGTATGAGAGAGGTACTTTTTCCAAGGTTCATTTCAATACAGAAAATACAGGGTTTTCATAATATCTTTAATGTCCTTGGGTTGCTAGAGGATTCTGGAATGCTACTAAATATAGTAAGCAGTGTATCAGTCAGTCAATCAGAACCTCTGTCTGTGATATTTCCGGCTAAAACTTCAAGTCGACGCTGATTGGAGAAACGCTTCTTAGTGTTGTCCTGATCCTTGCTTGACGTTTTCGAGAAATTTTCTAGGTCACCCCAACACATCCATTCAGTGCTTCCAGGTTTTCCATGGTGATATAGCTTCCATTCACTCATGAAATCAATTATTAAAAAAAAAATTATTCGATTAAAAGATTATTATTTCATTGTTTATTTATTTAATTTCATATAAAGGCATCTGTTGTATGTTTATTTTAAAATTTGGATTGATTTTCCAAATCAACAACGTGTACAACGTCAACGAGAATATCGTCGTGAACAATTTCGTAAATGTCTGCTTGACATTATACCTGATTTTAACCCACCTAAACAAGATATCAATGAAATGGACTAAATGTTTACATAAATTATTATCATTGTTTAAGTCAAAATTGTAATTATGTAATACTGTAAAGTTTTTTTATTGTTGTTGTTATTCTGATTAATATATTTGGTTTATAAAAATGTAATAATAATGTGAAATCTCAAATCATAATATGTCATGAGAGTTGCTAAGTTCACTATTTGGTTAACATTGAATACAATCACAATTGATTGATCACTGGGTGGTGATCAATGTCATGAGTATCTAGTCCTTATTAGTGCAGATCGGATGCTATCAATCATGTTGCAATGTAGCCACCAGCCTAGGTGACTCGATATTGCATGCACTATTATGAGATTAGATGGTGGTTGAAGGTAGTCGACAGGAAACCCTGGATCTCAGTCCTACAGGAGGTCGGTCGCGGCTCGGATAGCTCAGTGGTAACGTCTCTGACTGTGAAGCTAGGTGACATGATATCTAATCCACCAGGGAGCACCTTGCTGACGAGTGCCAAGCAGCACGAAACCCGGGTCCAGGGTTTCCTGTCGACTACCTCCAACCACCATCTATTAGAATACAATATACAACTATGGAACTGGAATGTATAGAACCTACCGAAAGACATGAATCAGGAAATAGAAGACTGGAAAGTGGTTGTTGGATAAGAATCAATATGTACAGAAAATCATGAGTATTTATAGATATTAGAGTTTATTATATCAAATATTATAATTCAGCCAATCCATATTATTCGTGAAATTTCTTTTGACAAACTGTATGTTGGCGTTCTGGGGAGTGTTACAATTGGACGTAGTGGGATGTTTGGTTTGTGTATTTTTGGTCTGCAATAGAATCGAGGGAGTACTTTTTCATTGGATTTCATTCTCCATTAGTTTTGCTTTGTTATTTCTCCTGCTTTGATGAGCTTGTTTAAAGTCTTTGAGATTCGGTTGTCTAACTTTTTGACTGGATTTATGTCCATCAGTTTGTATGTGCTCTTATCCTAAAGTAGTTCCTCGGCTTTTTTGACGTATTCTTCTTTATCCACAATCACTGTGGTGAGTCCTTTGTCCGCTGGAACTATGATAATATCCTTTCTAGTCCTAAGTTCCTTTAAAGACTAAATCCCTGCTTCTCACCAACGACACAAATCTCATAAAGTACATGAAGCTTCAAATTTAAAATCTACTAGAACTCATCAATTTATGCCTATCAACATATTTTCAATTCAACAACCAAATCTACAAACTAACGAAAGGGACACCGATGAGATCATTAATATCAGGATTGGTCGCACAAGCAGTGATGCAAAGACTAGAAGCCGCGATATTACCAGTGATCAAACCAAAAATTTGGATTCGCTATGTAGACGACATATTCGTCATCGTCAGAAAGAATGAGCTGGAAAACACTTACAAGCTGATCAATAACGTCTTCGATGACATCAAGTTCACAATGGAACAGGAGTCAAAGAACAAGCTATCATTCTTGGATATATTAATCACTAGAATCGACACAGGAAAACTGGAAACTCAAGTGTGCAGGGAACCGACCCATACAGATTAAATTCTCAACTACAAAAGCAACAACCCAATAGGTCACAAAATCAACTGCATACACACTTTGTTCAAATGAGCGAGGATACACTGGCAACACGAAAAACTGAAGAGAAATACTTGAAGAACGTATTCCAAAAGAACGACTACCCAGTCGGTTTCATCAAAAAATACCAGCCGAAAGCATCATCAGAATCCAAGTCAAGCACAGAAATCATCAACCATACATAAAAGACGTATCAGAAACCGCAAAGAGATCGCTGAAAACCTTCGGAATAGATGTGGCACACAAATCGACAAAATCAATATAATCAATCCTATGCAAACCAAAGGATGAAATGACAAAAGAAGACAAATCAAACATCATCTACAAAATAAATTGTGCCAACTGCGTCAAACACTACATCGGACAAAGCGGGCGCCCTCTTCATTTTCGCCTGCATGAACACCAATTAGCAGTCAAACGCCATGACATTTCCTCACTTATATCAATCCACATGGACAACTGCGGACACTCCTTTTACTAAAAAAATGTGGAAATCTTGGGTAGAGAAAATTCCAAGAACACCAGAGAATTTTTAGAAGCTGGGCACTCAGGTCAATCAGCAATCAATAAACAGATTGAAATCGATCCAATTTATCAACCAAACAGGAAAATTATGCACAAATATAGGAACCAAAATCAAACCAATGGGAGATACAACTAAAACAAAGCAGTAAACAATGACATGTCTAAGGACAACAAGAAGCAATCAACGTAGAGGTGTACAGAACAAGCTGTGAAACGCATATGGAGAAATTCTAACACTTCACTTCTATCTGGAGTTTGTGCTGGTGATGTCGTTCAGAAGAACGATGAAAGCTCTACGACCGAACAATCCTGTTCTGAGAACAAAACTGCATCTAAATTATCCGCCTGAGCTACAAATCTTCTCCACCATCACAAAGAGGCATGTTATGCTATTGTCTTTAGTGGTCCAGGATCTGACTTCAATTAAGTCATATGAATGTTCGTCATTGAATGATTGCTGTCAAAATATATATGTTGACTATCTTTGTATATTTCGTCGACTTAAATCGCTTTAGTCAATATCGGAATTAAATAAGTCAAATACGAGAATGAATTTCGAATACGTATATTTCATACAATCCTTGATCCAGACAAAATATCGGAGAAGCGAAGCGAAATAAAGGGACGCGCAGTGGAGAAGGCGTGTGAGACAACTCCATTTAGTCAAGTGTTAATCGATATTTATAATCACAGATATGTAATGAATAGGATTAGAAATGTACACACACATATGTGCTCATATAAAAACAGGCAATTTTGATAGGTGAATAACTAACAAGGTCAAAATATGACTCAACTAGAATGAATAGATTGGCCTGTCCGAAAGCTAGAATAAGGTATATGGGCTTAACATTAATAAACGACACTACATGTGCAATGGTAGTATGCCACTTTGATATTCTAGAAAGTTCCATCATGTTCTGATTGCATGGAAATTCTTCGGCTCATTTAGGGTCCCTGTAGGCTTCGTCGTAGTTCTCGGAAGCCGTTCGAAGAAGAGTAATATAAATGGGTATGAAATTTTAACATTACTGAAGGTAAGATAGCTGTTCGATATAACATTGAAAGTTACGATAAGAAGAAGATAGAAGAGATAATGAAAAATTTGAAATGGGATGAATTTGTTTCATTATGTAAATACGGCGAGACTCTAATTTATGGACGACCTTTGAACGAATCTCAAGTGACCCTGAGACATATTAGCCAATCAACAAACATTCAGTGTAGAGTAGAAATATGTGATACAAAACCAAGGAAATAAAGTGGATACACTTCTTATACGTGGTTCAAAAACTTGTCAAGGTTCAAAAGAGGTCCAGAGGTCCTAAAATCGTAATGCATTCAGTAGAAGAAATCATCCATACGGCTACAGAATAGTCGGTCTCTGGAGCTATGATAAAGTCTCGAAAACTCTTTCAACCTCGACCACATAGCTTCAATATTGTTTGTGTACACTCCGGTTGTTGAGTGCACAAAATGCTACTTGTGGACAACGACACGATTCACATAACCAAGGCTATGTAGGAGTCTGTACGCTCTCCAAACGTCCGTATATATTGTAGTACCTTGCTGCAGCCAGTGTTACTGGTGCTTTTATTATCCAGTTCGGAATTATTGTCGTAATTTGCTTTAGTTAGGAATTATATATGGGGTTTTCATCACGAACTGACATCAGCTATAATGCCAGGAATTTATTTAGCTAAATGGATGAATAACTTTCGCGTTAAAATCCGAGATGTATTATGTTATACCTGATTGATTCGTCCACAAATTATAGTCTCGCCATTTTATTTGTTATAGCCGCTCAATTATCACGTTTTGTAAAAAATTCCCTGTGAACCAATCGTAAGTTAGCATTAAGCATTGGAGTTGCAGCCGTAACCCTGAAATCTCTAAAACGCTTCTGATTGGCTCGTCCATAAATTAGAGTCTCGCCGCAGATACTATTATTCTTAATTTGGTCAATCATAAAATTATTCAAAGATATACAAACGGAGAGATATGAAACTTGTATAGCAATTCTTATGTTAATTAGTGAGTATATAGTTTTAACTATAAGTTCTTCTTCTTCCACAAAACCCATCTAAAATTATCTTAGTTATGTAGCCAATGTGATTTATAAAAATGTATTATTACTAGTGGCTTTATTCAATATTACATTTTTGGCACAATATGGAATTCTCAGCACAAAGTATTTCAACAAGCTTCCTTCTCTTACTTCTTGATCGATCCTTATGATAAATATTGAGTGGTTGCCAGTTAAATGTTAGCAGTTCACGAATCTACATCTTATTAATGTGTATTCTTTTCTATATATATTGCCAGCAACCATATTGTCTCTGATTGTGCTGTTTCCTAACTTGTACAGCGAAAGGCTGTAAACGTTTCACAAACGTACCTGAATAGCTTGTGAAATTAATTGATAATAATGATATGTTAAAACAAACAGAACAACAAATAACTTTTTGAAAGGTCTAAATAGCAGGAACAGGTAGCCCAGGTATTCAGACAGATCGCCTATAAGGTGTTGTGTTTAAATAGTAAGAGCAGTGAGAATTATTTATCTGATATTTTAATGTTCTGATCAAGCGTTCGAGATTATAAAGATTTATATGATCCATTAATGAGATGATTTTATACACTGACTAACTGAACAATTAGCAAGGGCCGCATACCTACAATAGAAGAACATATGGAACTGAAAATAACTGTCAACCAATATCGAAGTCCGAATCTTCAATACGAACGTCAAGACAGTTCTACTGTACGAAGCTGAAACTTCAAGAACTACCACAACCATCATCAAGAAGGTATAAGTATTTATAAATAGTTGTCCATGCAAAATACTCAACATCCATTGGACGGATAACATCAGTAACAGCCTTCTGTGGGAGAGAACAAACCAACTTCCAGTTGAAGTGGGAATTAAGAAGAAACCATGGAGTTGGCGGACAGAACATACATTACGGAAATCATCAAACTGCATCACGATGCAAGCCCTAACTTGGAATCGTGAAGGGAAGCGGAGAAGTGAAAAGCCAAATAACACATTACATCGGGACATAGAATCACATATGAAAAGGATGAATAACAACTGGAAAGAGCTGGAAAGAATTGCTCAGGACAGTGTTTGATGGAGAATGCTGGTGGGTGACCTATGCTCCTCCACGAGAATTAACAGGCATAAGTAAGTAAGTAGGTAATTGAACAATTAAACTTCATGTTAATGATGTAAACAATACCAGAACAAAGATTTAAAAAAAGAAAAAATCATTGATTCATGTAAATTCAATTGTATTTTAACAAGAAAATATAATTTTAAACGCTAAATTATTATTATTATGTAAACAGTTACCATGTTTACCCTTCCATAATTAACAGGAAAACTGGGAAAAAAATATTTTTAATCAATAAGTTATTGATTTTTCGCGCATAATTGAATTCATTATTAAATGGAAATGATCACAGTTCTCATTGATGAAATGAATGTATCATATTCACAGTCTACGTATTATTGTTTGATCATAATCTTTTGTTAAGATCTTTTCAATTTTATAATTCTGAAAAAAAAAGGAATAAATCAATAAATAAACAAGGTTTTTAATCGCTGGAACATTCCCATTATATTCCACACGACCAATAATCACTCCGAGGTTGAAAGATAAATTACCTAGACTAGCCACTTCCTTCTGTATTCATCAATTCAACTGCTCCTGTGAAGCAAGTTATATTGGCAGATGTTCTAGGAATATGTACATTCGAGCTCGTGAGCACCTCCCCGTGTGGTTAAGCAAAGGTGTAGTCAAAACTGTTAACACCTCCATCTTAGGTCATCTTAGGACATACAGCCAACATGGAGCAGTCTTTTGCAATAATCTATCGTGTTAACAGCAGTCTTTAATTCCGTCAGACTGTGAATCCTACAGACGGCTGAAGCAATTGCTATTCAGATGTAAAAAGTCAGAGCTTTACATCAAAAAGAAATATGTTCAGCCACTTCTTTTACCCTGGCCAACTTTGGGGCCAACTAGTTAATAATTAATTTTATAATATAATGACGTAATCTGATTAATGTTCATTTTATGTCCCATACTTATTATTATTATTATCATTATCTTTACACTTGATAACCCCTTTTTGAGGAATTTATTCAATATCCACCCCTAAATCTACTATATCTGACCTCATTCATATTATTCTACATATTACGTAACTTCAGATTTTTATTCCATTAGTTTCTCTCACACCCCATGTTGACCATATTTATTCTGATCATTATTTATCGCACAATTTCATTTCACTTATAAACTGATTTAAGTTACCACTTTATATTAAACAACCCCAACATTAACGATCTGAATTGATTTTATATATGACAAACAACAATTCTCAATTCACATATTACAATTTCCAAATGATGATGTACTCTGACTTAAATCTGTTCAATTTTATGGATTATTAATTTGGATATGAGGGAATTGTAGAACCTGATGAGAAATTCATTGAAAAGAATATTCTTCGTTCATATAAATTGTGTTTTACTACTTATTTATCAAAAGTGGGTTTTATGGAGATTTTAAAGGTAGATCACCATAGAGAACCCTCTTCTGATAATCATTATCATGTATTTATTCGTGACTGACATCAAGAGGTATTTCCTGAAGTTCTAATGATAAACTGTGACCAATAGAGTTCAACCATGTTTGTTGTGTGATAGTAAGTCACTAAAGACAATAGTGGATAGTGGCGCAATTTCATGAACTGGTTGAAGTTAGATATTAACATCATTGGATGCCACCGGTTCAATGGTCTGAGGGTTAAATATTCTTGCACAAAACCGCAGGGTGGTATAATTTTGTATTGGCTACTGTATATTGTGTAATTTTTTAAAATTATTTATTATTGCAATCATTCAGTAATCAGTTATTGTTCTGTTAATTTAACCATTTCATTCTCATTTCATTGAAACCATACACTATTCGACTTTTACGAAATAATAGTAATAATGATTATTATTATTATTAATGGCTTTATTCAGTATTATATTTTTGGTATTAGATAATGTTGTGGTCGGTGTTCACAATATAAATCTTAAACTTCGTATACAGTTCGTTCTGATAACCGTCACTAGATAACGCCTTGACGGTATATTAATCAGGAGGCGAATACAAAGTGTTGGTTACGTTTACTATTGTACCACACACAGATACCCAAATTTATAAGTACGCTAAGCAAGCATGAAAGAGTGGTGCTGAAAAGCAAGCGGGCAAGCGAGTGAGCATGCGAGTCGAATGAGTGAGCAAGTGAACAGGATTAAAATGTACATAAATATACATAGTGAAATGAATGAATCATTGAACCAATTAAACGACTAATAGTAAGGCTAACAGAATGAATATATGCGTAGGCAGTAGGTAATGCTCAAGCATACATATTCATACAAGTGCAACAGTAATAAAGGTACAATGGTATAAATAAGTTGTTATTGTACGAATGACTCTATCCGTTAAATAAGCTAACAAAAGGGCTTAATTAAGCCCCATGAGCAAACTCAATTGCGCGTGAGCTGCTATAATAGAATTATCAGCACAAAGTATTTCAACAAAATCCCTTTTCTGATTTCTTGATCTATCCTGACGATAAATGTTTACTGATCGCCAATTAAATGTTATCAATTGAGTAATCGACATTTCAATAATGTTCATTCTTTTCAATGAATTTTGTCATCCACCACGATATCTTTGATTGTACTTTTTTACAAGCTGTACAGCAAAAGGTCATAAACTTTTCACAAACGCACTTGATTAGGTTATGCGATTAAGGGACATAATGATGTGTTAAAACAAAAAAAACCCAGATAACTTGTTGAAATATCTAGATGGTAGTTCAGATATTTGAGCATACCCTCAGTTATGAGTTGATCTAAGCGAGACCACTATTGAAAACCTGATGGTCTAGCTTAGATCGTCTCATGAATTCAATTATTGAAGTCATTATAATCTTAACAAATCCCCATTTTGATAATATTATTATGATTAATATTATTACCATTATTATTATTATCATCACTATTGTCATTAAGTATCACTGAGCTTTTATTTTGGCAATCAACATCAATCTCATTTATTGTCTTTTATTCACAAATGAAACATATTCATTGCGGTTAATCAAGTCGTAATGTTAATCTTGATGATTATATTGTGTAAAGTCAATACGATTTATATCACAGAGTGACATTAGTTAAGCGACCAATGAAAGACATAAAGTATTGAATGTCTGTTTTGTTCTATTATTGGACTACTCAGAAGTACCCACCTATCACCCTATGGAGAATCGAATCAGAAGCTCTCTGGTGTTATCACTTTTAGACCATTGAGTTGATATTCAATGAATTTAATATCTAACTTGAATTAATTGACGAAATCAGTTCATTTGTGTTCACTGATGCCTAGATTTTTTTGAACATGTAGTAAAAATTGATCTCTGTTAATTAATCACCTTGATAACCGTCATTATATCAATCCGAACGGTGTTTGAAATCAGAAGGCAATGAGATGGAGTGACTACAGTTTATCAGCGGATAGCACAGACATCATAGTTATAAGTACATTAGGCAAGTCTGAAGCAGAGGTGAATATGTGTATGCGACCGAATACAGAAGCGAATTTATAGCCAAATCGAATAAGGGCATAGCAAGACAAGTCAAAATCTAGTAATAGAATTCGAGTATATATATAGGACAGAATGACTTATCGAGCGGTATTTAAGCGACTAACGTTTAAGGTAGAGAGAGATATGTGCATAGGCCTACATGTTTATACAGATATGATAGGGATCATATTAGTACACAGAAATATGCGAATCGTTACTGCTCGAATAACATTGTCTGTTAAGTAATTTAACTAAAGGGCTTCAAATATTAGCTGATAAGTGTAGTTATCCATGGTGATATTGTATTGAACAAACTCATAGGTGAGGAAGACCAATGTATTGTTTAATGCAAAGTTATAGTGTCTTTATTACATACGAAAACAAAATATTAAATACTTCATTTACACATCTTCCATCAATTGTCCCTTAAAACATCTTTCCTTCATTCCTGTTGCTATTACGATTATTATCTGTTTGCATTCCTGATCTTAAATCAATCTAATCAACTTATATCTGTCGACATAAGTAGTATGCACAACAGTATTATAGTTACTAACATTGATCTGAAACAGATCTGAAACTTAAGTTTTTCAAAATTCATTTACAGTATAGAAGTCAGAAATGTTAAAACTGAGTGGGTTTTTTTAAAAGTTGATTAATTTAACTATTAGACCTAGTATGTTGACGCAGGTCAATTTATCTATTCTTCTTGAGACAGGTTTTGACCTTGTTAATTATTCGCTTATCAACCCTGACTCTTTTTAGATGAGCGGGCGTATGTGTGTACATGTTATCCTACTCATCAAATATCTGTAACTTATTTTTGTGTGACTACAAAAATCGATTAACTCTTGGTTAAATGGAGTTTGCTCACACTCCTTCTCCATTTCGCACCGTCTCGTCTCGCTCTCTTTTCATCGCTTCATTCGTTGTGATTCTTTGATTGTCTGTTCCAATCAACGAGTATACAAAATATACGTATTCAAACATTCATTCTCGTATTTGACTTATTTAATTCCGTTATTCATGAACGCGAATTAAGTCGATAATTATATTACCAGGATTGACGATATGTATATTTTGTTCTCTCCCAGCCTTTTGTGAGAGAGAACAAACCAGCTTCTAGATGAAGAAGAAATTAGGAAAAGACGATGGAACTGGATAGGACATACATTACGCAAATCGTCAAACTGCATCACGAGGCAAGCCCCAACTTGGAATCCTGAATTAAAGCGGAGAAGTGGAAGGCCAAATAACACATTACATCGGGAAATAGAATCAGATATGAAAAGGATGAATAAGAACTGGAAAGAGCTGGAAAGGATTGCCCAGGATAGGGTTGGATGGCGAATGCTGGTGAGTGGCCTATGCTCCTTCCCGAGGAGTAACAGGCGTAAGTAAGTAAGTAAGTAAGTAAGTAAGTAAGTAAGTAAGTAAGTAAGTAAGTAAGTAAGTAAGTAAGTAAGTAAGTAAGTAAGTAAGTAAGTAAGTAATTAAGTAAGTAAGTAAGTAAGTAAGTAAGTAAGTAAGTAAGTAAGTAAGTAAGTAAGTAAGTAAGTAAGTAAGTAAGTAAGTAAGTAAGTAAGTAAGTAAGTAAGTAAGTAAGTAAGTAAGTAAGTAAGTAAGTAAGTAAGTAAGTAAGTAAGTAAGTAAGTAAGTAAGTAAGTAAGTAAGTAATAATGACAATCATACGATATAATTGGAGTCAGATCCCAGGCTACGAAAAGGGAAAACTACTGAAAACTATTCAGATGTACTCAAATACTTACTTGATCAATTGATTTTCTTATTTTTTGTATCATTTTATCATGTAAACCAATCAGAAAAATAGCTTTAACTCTTAATGATGCCATTGCATTCGGTTGATTCGCTATTATATAATTCATTTCTGTTGTCTACATAAGAAAATGATTAAAAAATTTTTTTGGTACAAGATGAAAGTTTCCAGTTTTATTGTTTTGTTTGTTTAAGATCATTTTCATTTAATACTGAAATTCATGGATTGATCTGTATCAAGTTAGAATAATAATTCTTTAAAGGGAACTAATTGAATGAAATTTATGAATAAAGCTTAGGGAATATTGAATTTTCGGTGACCAGTGGAGCTCAACCGAATCTGTTGTGAACTAGTAACTCACTGAAAACAATGGTGGATGTGTCGGTCAATTTTGTGCATTAGTTGAAGGTAGACAATAACACCGTTGGATGCCGACTCAGTAGTCCAGAGGTTATGTGTCCGCGCGTGAGACCGATAGGTCCTGGGTTCGAATCTCGCGAGGTTGGGTCGTGGATGCGCACTGCTGAGGAGTCCCACAATAGTATGGAACGGCCATCCAGTGTTTCCAGGTTTTCCATGGTGGTCCGGCTTTGATTGACTCATGATCTCAACAACTAAATATTGAATTGTTTTTTATTTGGTGTTAACTGAACGATTTAATATATCATATTGATGGTTGTGTAATAGTTCTTTTGGTAAATGTAGGTGATTTTTTTATATTTTGACGTTAGCCAAAGTATTTGTATAAAGTGAGAGAATATCTGCAACTTTCATGAATCAGATTATGACTACCGAGAAACAAGTATCTACACATTCACAAAGAATGATCTCGACCGTCTTTCATCGTCTTCGATGGGTTATCTCGCAATATCGTGGATTCGAACCCGCGAGCGGGACCGTGGATGCGCACTGCTGAGGAGTCCCACAATAGGACGAAACGGCCATCCAGTATTTCCAGGTTTCCAAAGATGGTCTAACGTCAATCGGTTCATGATCTCAATCAAAAACTTAATAATATCCACAACCCCTATGCTAGTAAAAAAAAAAACAAATATTGATTTTCTTACTAAGTTTTCAATAAAACGTTTCTTCATCAATTTCAATCGATTATTAGTTGATCTATAAAATAAATCAATTAAAAGCGATCCTACTTAATGGCATCATTTAAGAATTGTTTATCTTTTTCATCTTTTATTTTCAAATGTTTCTGTAGTTTCTCTTTCCTAATATAAATGAATGTTATATTAGTTCCATATGTAGTACATTTGTTTACGATGCATTCCTTTCATACGTTTATCTGTTCTCATTTTTCTATCAAGGATTGATTTATTATGATTATTCTCTTCAGACATTTGTTTGTTGATCCTTTTGGTATAAATACAATAAATTATCTCGATTATAAGTTCTAACTTTGATAAGTCTGCGTATAGCTTCAAGGTAATTTATATCCAAGGATAATTTGAAGTATAGCGTGTGTGAAAGATTCTGGAAGATAGAAGAATAAAAGAAAAAAAGTGAATTGGTTACTCAATAAAAACGTAGAATATAATTAAATCGAGATTAGATGGTGGTTGGAGGTAGTCGACAGGAAACCCTGGACCCGGGTTTCGTGCTACTTGGCACTCGTCAGCAATGTGTATCTGTAATCTTGAGGGAACTGGTGATCCCTGGCGGATTCGATCCTGTGTCACCCAGCACACATGACATTGATCACCACCCAGTGATCAATCAGTTGTGATTACAATTACATCAAGTACTAAAACTAATCAATAACGGTTAGTAGTAATACAAATATGAGATTAAGACAATCGGATAATAGAAATCAGAAAGTGGTTGCCAAGAAGAGCTGAGGTTATTTTATTTTATTTTGTATTGAATCAATTGTTTTCCTGAAAGAATAACCTTGATGATACTTTCCCTCAGTGACCATTTTTTACTATATAATTGACAGTCGTTTTTAGTTTATTAATTTTATTGTGTCCCAAAGTCATTGGGAATGAATGTATCAATAAAGATGATCTATTTTGATTGTTGACTTCTATTTGGAATATAAAGCTATCTTAAAAGTGCTTTCACCTCCATCACATATTAGTGTGTGGATTATTAAAAATGAAGTACCAGTGAGTATTCATTACCGTTTTTGTCGAGTCCGCCACAAAACCCGAAAATATAAAAAAAACTAAATTTCTTTGTAATTAGTAATTATTATAGACTCATACAAGATACAACAGTAGTAAATTTAGATTTCAAATAAGTAACATTATCATTAGTTTACAGATTTGATCACTCCACTGTTCGATAGTTCAACAGCAAACAAAAGTCCTTCTGTCATGTCGTGAATGGTAAATAAATTCTAGCAATCAATTTGCCAAATAGTCATTAATTTAAGTCACTTAATATCTCAGTGCACTAAACTGTGACCGAATTGTAATTTACTTGGCAAAATTCTATTAGTACTAAGGTAATTTATAGTTATATAATATACCCTTGTGAGCCAGGGTAATTTTACATTGGTTTTCAGGGGAACCAGACACCATCCAGACTTTCACCTGACAATCCAAACAGTACAGCTCAATCCCGTTTAAAAGGAGAGCCAGACACCGTTGAAGCTTAAAATTTGTAGCCCGAATAGTACGGCTCAATCCCGTTTCTAGGAGAACCAGATACCATTTTAGGCTTTAGCACTACAATCTGAATAGTACAGCTCAATCCTGTGGAGCAACCACACACGTATCAAGTACCCTGGTGGGTCAGTACTACGGCAAACGTTACATGAAGTTGTTTATTATCGAGTAATTGATTAGTATAAAAATCTTATTTATACAAAAACATTAGTCGAACCTTGGATAACTCTATAGCATATTCTTCAACCACGACGGTGATGGTACTACTCTCAAAATGAATATTAGTTTCCCTAAAATTTCAATCATACTATCCTAAACGCATACTAAATTAAACGAAACTTTAGGATATCATAGATGTCGTCTCTGTTCAGTTAACATCAGATATGATTCTTTTTAATATGATTTCCATAGTTTAATATATTACATATTCATATATCAGCGACGAAGATTTTTCCACGTTATATTGAAATCACTCAACGTTATAGATTATATGATACTCAACTAAAATTTCATTCTTATTTCGCTGACAACTCAATTGTATTAACATCTATATCTTTCTACATAAAATAATTAAGTGAAATTGAAAGCTAGTATGAGAATTACTGAGGATCATAGAATGTAGAGAAGTTTATATTCAAGTCATTCAACAAACCGTTAGCATACGGGTCAATTGGAAAAATGACAACCAAGTACAAGGTCAGATGTCATTTAAAGGAAGCATAATATAACATCAAAAACTTAATGATCTCCACAACCATGCGCTCACTAGCGACTAGCTTCGTGAGGGAAGTCTCGGAGTTCTAGCAAGAAGCCGTGACCAGTGGATCTAATCCGTGTCGGGTAGAGATAAGTATCTACCTCAGTACAATGAAAGACGCTCGCGCAATTTCATTGGTTGGTTGAAGTTAGACATGAACATCCATTGGATGTCGGCCGGCTCAGTGGTCTAGAGGTTAAGCCTTCACGTGCGAGACTGAAGGCCCTGTGTTCTAGTCCAGCGAGTGGAATCGCGGATGCGCACTGCTGAGGAGTCCCACAATAGGACGAAACAGCCATCCAGAGCTTCCAGGTTTCATACGGTGGTCTAGCATCAATCAGTTCATGATCTCAATCAAAAACTTAGTGATCTCCACAACCCTATGCTGATGTATGATAAAACAAATTTTAGTAACCACCAATATCATTTTTATAGGGTATTTAGTCAGCCGCTTATGATGAAATTTTGATAACTCATCCCTTCTTATATTTTTACCGATAATAGCCTCATAATTCAATCATTTATTTAAAAGGACGGATCACGAATAGAGTCTCAAGTTAGATCTAGAGTTAAACGGAAGCTAGTCACCTGACGAATAGGATTTATCAATGATTTTTGTAGGATCACATGTAATGGTTCCTCAATAAGCTCTGGACATACACAAAGAGAGCGTTAGTGAAAAGTTGGTAACGTCAGGAAAGCGAGACTGCTGTGAAAAATAACAAAACGTTCGTTCAAATCTATTACAATATTTCATCAACAGTGACCCTAAGTGAGATCACCAAGAGTAATCTACTGAAATGTAGAGTGAGAAACATGAGCAGAAAAATAAAGATCATAAAAAACAACACAAAATGACTTAAATAGGTAAAACACCAATGGCAATACAAGTATGCATAAAGATGATCTAAAGAATCTTCTTCAATAATCACGTTACGTGTGCAATTTTTGAACTGGGAAACAGGATTTTTTTCAAATCGCATAGCAGAAAACATTATAAACTTTAAGAAATTATAAACCTCGAATCATGGGGTATTCAATTGCCAATTGCACTGTTGGAAAACGCAAGCAAAGTGAAAGTGCTCTATTCAATCAAGGGAATAAGAACAAAATTGTAGCATTTACTATCAGAAAACATTACACGGATAGGTTAACCAAGAACATCAGTAATTAACAAATGAAAATTAGATGTTATATATCGTAAGTAGTCAAATCATCCAAGGTAGGAGGGGTTTAAAAGAGTAGCCAACATGAAAAACTAAAGGATGAATGTAATGCCATAGGTATAAAACCAAACTAAGACGTAATAATATCAACAGATAGGACGAGTAGTACGTCACACTAATAACTCAAACTACTGAATAATAATAAGTAGTGTAACGATAAATACAAATGAGAGCTGTCAGGGAAAGAGGAATATGAGGTAACACCGTGTACTTCGATAAAAAATTTATAATAAGTGTATATACTTTGAAAGTCAAATTTCAGTAAATATCTGGGCGGTATATTCCACTGACATCTGTGTTGTCCAAAATTGTAATTCCGTTGAAAATCACTTATCCATCTTTATAATTATTTCATATTGATACGTTATGTATATATTAACAACAATTATGGTATGTATGTGTCTTTTAAACATCCTAGTTAGCTAAGTTTATATGCAAGGTACTAGGTAAAAATAGCTATCGTTTGGTAAAGTTGTGGATATTCATTAACTAAACTTGTTGAGACACTGTC